ACGAGCTGTTAAGGAAGTGGTCTGGTAATCTACTACTGAGCAACTGTACAGACCTTCATTTTCATTTGAAGAGTTATACATGCTCTACAGTTTAGGGTATATTAATTTGCTAGCCTGTTGCGTTCTTGGACAAAGCTTGATAATAAAATTGATAAAATTTAGTTTTTTTTTTTTTCGAATAATTGATACAAAATGTCTCTATCCTTTGTCATCTCGCGAAAGTCACTTAGTCGATTGACCAGAATACTCATAATGAAAGTCAAAGGACAATTGTACCCTTATTTTCAAATAGCAAAAAATAAGAGAGAAAATATGTATACATGATCGATAATTACATTGTACATCTTATATAGATTCTTTTTTTTTTTACCCTTTTTTGACAAATATCTTTTCAATATTACAAAAGAATTGTCTTCACGTGTTTCTCCAACATATTAAATTGAACATAAATGTAAACAATATTAAGAGGGCGTTTGGGCGCCATTTTTTGCTCATTATTAAAAAAAATACAGTTCCTACAAAATGAAAGTCATGAGATAACAGTTAAAAAAAGGGGCTAATTTGGGCCCGTAAAAAGTAACATTTTTTTTTTCTAAAAATGGGTGAAAAATTACAAACAAACATGCTCTAAATAAGAAAGTTCATTAACTATCAATACTTTTTAATAATCTTACAAAAAAATTATTTTGTCTCGATTGAGTTACTCGACTTCTATTTAATTTCAATTTTCAATAATTTGTCAAATATGTTACCTAATTGTCATCCAAATTGATAAAAAAAGTTATTTAGTAGATAGTCACATAGTAATAAAATGAAGGTTATGACAATGTGAGGCGTGTATTCTAGAACGCCCGTACGGTAAATTTTCTAAGAAGTTGTTCGTTAATCTATTTGGATTTTTTTGGAAGTATTTTTTTTATTAGAAGAACTTTTAGAAAAAAAAAAAACTAAGGGCCTGTTTGTTACAGATTCTCATTTTATACAGTAAATCAATTCTCATTTTCAACCACACATTCTTCAATAAAATAATATTTTCCATCACATCAATACTTTTTTCTTTTTTTTCAACCATACATTTCCCATCATATCACTGTTCAAAAATCAATTCTT